CTCTCTCACATGAGCTCCAAGGGTGTTTGGCCATCCCTAATCAGCAGACAGCTGGAAACAAAAGCTCAAAGCGCCCCATGATCAGGAAAACCATTATCAGTCCTTAGGATGGTATTCTCTCCATCTAACTTGAGCTCTCCAAAAAGTAGATGTCTAGTCCAAAGTCAATGCCTAGGCTGTAGTCTGTGCAGAGAGAAAGGTGGCTCCAGACTCCTCCTATCCCACAGATGGTGTCTAGGATTTTTCAGATTAGTCTCTCTCCGTTCATTGGCTAAGGAAGATCTGTTGTCATTCTTCTGGAGCTAAGGTGAACTGCATCCTACGTGCCGCTTGTTTGCTTGCTAAAAAGCAAGAAGCTCTGCCAGATTCTTTGAGCTAAATGCTGAATATTCATAGCATTTATTCCGGGCAAGAAATTAGCCTGGACTTTTCGAAGGGCTATTTTTCCTTATTGTTGTGGTTTTTTAAGGCACCGACATTTACTTTAGTTGCAAACATTAACCATTCAGATGACGTTCCATTTTTGGCAAGCTTTCCAATCCAGCTACCTTGTCACTATCTTGCTTCTCACCTCAGATGTGATAATCAGTAACGGTCATTTAAGAAAATCTAGCAAAACTTTGGCACATAAATTGCAGCCACAGCGTGACAGGACAAACAAGATGTGAAGCAGGCTGAAGATTTAGGCAACCAAGTTCTCCTGTAAGACTGGGCATTCCTAAAGAAAAAGCCCTCTATGAGACACCAGCTAAGAACTGTATTTTACAGTAGAACAGTAGCAAGAAGCAGCTCCTGTTTTGATACACACTTCTCCCTTTTTAGCAACTGTTTCATAGCCACAAAAATTTAACAAACTATTTAGAAATAGGGAAATTTGAACAAATTTCTATTATCTGCATTAGCCACAGATCTGTTTCATCTATGAAGAAAAAACTACCCAGTGTAATATATTACATGTAAGTTATGGGATGCATCCACACTAAAAAAAAAATGAGGCTGATTTTGTCAGGAGTGGAGGAGTCATTCAGCCACATGCATTTTCCACTTTTACATTCAATTCAGTCTGAAGCCCAGGATGACTTATGTTTCATGGCCCGAGTCTTCCACTGCAAGCCATGGCAAATAATTTAACATGATTGCCATTCAGTGTTCTCCCCTCTCCCATCCTTCAAGATGACGTTTTTCAAGTGGACTCTGCTCACAGTTTTGTTCTCTTTCTTCTCTCTTCTGTGATGTGCATATAAAATGTGCAGAAAAGCTGATGTATTTGGATTCATGGTAACGTTGCCTTCAAGGTTGATCCCAAGAAGGAATGCACAAGATTATATTCCTTCTGTCATGTAGTTCCAAGGTAGGGTGAGAAGAATAAAGAAGTACTTGTCTTTATTTGGTAGAGTCTTAGTCTTCCTCTGCACATGCAAGTAAGTAACCATCTAAGCTGCAAAACTGCACTGCAGCCTCTTAATCAGTACAGCTGTAATAGTACAAATACATCAAAAAGGAAGCCAGCACATCTAACGGTGCCCTGGCAGCAACTTGGAAGAGCAAGCAGCTAAGGGGTGGTGCAGTTGTGACACAGAAGTTCTGGCATGGGAAAAGGCCAGATTTTCCTATTCAAACATCTGCTTGAGGAACAAAAAAGAAAGTCTACTTCTGAGGCTTTATTCATAGCATCTTTTTTCAATGGAGGAATATAGGGCTCATGTCAGATCCCACTAAAATGAAATGTACCTCTCTGGCTCCTCTGAATGGAAAGTCAACAGTCACTTCCGGACACTGCTAATGCAAACTGACTCTCCCACCAGCTGCAGTCAGGGGTGCCTGTGAATTTGTCAATCTGCCCTCTACAAAGCACTGCAGAGCCAGAAGAAGGTGTCAATTTCAGCACCACTTTGTCTTTTCAAAGTGATAGCTACCACACTGAAATCAGCAAGCCAGAGCAGGGAAAATGCATCTGTAGGTAATTAGTAACAATCACGGACTGCTAGGAAGCTGCTGACTACAGCAGTAATGAGCTGGGCACATGTCATTGGCTTGCAGATGGAGGGAGCACTTATGAACCGTGGCAGCAAGCAGAAAGAAAGGGTTTTTTTTTTTTTTTTTACTTAATATTTAATGTGGCATAAAAACGATGGAGAGAAATCAGATGTTTAGCTGGCGGTCCATAACACGAGGGTGGTGCATGAAGCAGTACAAAGAACTGTCATTAAAATTTTCCTTAGTCACATTTTACCAGGAAGTGCTGGCATGAATGCCAATGTCTGAGCAATCCTTTTCTTTTCAGGTAATATCCTCACTGTTTTGATCAGCCAGCCTGTTAGGAAATGGGAATTTTATGTTTTCCACCAGCATTTATACAGGGGATCTTTTGCATCTCAACTCTCAGTATTGCTTTGTTATCCAAACCACTGGCCAGTAATAAGAACAAGGAAAGACTGTGATCATATGACCTCAGTTCTCAGCCTCACTTGCATTAAAGTTTCTTATAATGTGTCTTACCGACTTAAGACTGACAAAGTGAACTAGACTCAGGCTCTTTGCAAATGACAGCCCAGAACTGTCGCTAGACTCTCATAAAAATTGATGAAGCTTGAACTGCAGATATCAGCCTATCAAAAGCACTACATTACTTTTCTTGGCCACAATTAAACGCATTTCTCAAACTCTTGTGGGTCTATATTACAATTTCTTTACCCTAAAACATGAGGCTGAAAGCTCTCTGCACACCAATAGCCCACCCTGTGTTAAAATGTTGTGCAATCACATATTCACAGCTTTGCTTCACACAAACCAGAAGACTTTCCAAAATAAATAATGTTTTCCACCTACAGATTCTTCTGGATTTTATTTGCCAGGTTTTAGAAGCTCTTGGAGTCCTGATAACAAAGCTGTTAAAAATGTATTTATAATCTAGTGACTTCTACTGGAATGTCAACTGAGAAGTAAGGTCAAGCCATCAAGCCATTAACACCATTCGACACAGAATTTTGTACACTTTGCAGAACTTTATCCTCACTTTTACAGCTGAAAAAATGTTTGGTAAGCGACAGGGTGAAAAAGAGGTAGGAATGGAAAAGCCATTTAATCCTTAGCAGAAGACAGACTAGTTTATCCAGAGCTATGGTGGGAGCTGTATCACCAAGTGTGCCTTAACTTATGCGTCTGGCACTTTACCAAAACAAATAAAAAATTATATTTCTGTCTTTGAAGATCTGCGTGTCCTCTCAGCTAGGTATGAAAGCCTCAGGGTAGAATGTGACTCTCCTGTATGGAGTGTGTCCAGCACTATAGCGTTTAGACAATGTTTAGGTTTTCCATCTGCTTCTGGAGTTTGAACAGCACTAAACAAGCATTATGGATGTTACAAAAGAGAATGGAAAAATAACAGACAATCTTTTCTAAAAAATATATCAAAAAGCAATAGGTTTTAAAGGGCTTTTCATATGCTCGTGTAAATCTAGGTTTTATGAATGCAGGTGTTAAAAAACTCTACAGCAATATCAAATTAAAGATATAAATACCTACTGCCTTGTAAAATGTGTTTTGTTATAGCCCTGTCACACTTAAGACCAATGGCAGATTTTTTTCTAGGCTTGTTGTCATAAAATCTGTTCCCTGTCCTCAGTGAGAACTAATAAATTTAACATCTAGAACTTTTGTTCAGGTGTATATTATGTCACAAAAAGAACTCAGCTCAAATATAAAACAAGCTTTTCGGAGTCATTTCTATAGTCAGTCATGTTTTAACAAATATAATCAGCCAGCTCTACACTACGCAACCAAACACTACAGAAGTAGTGATACAAGACAATCACTAGCGATTGCCAGTAAGCAAGATAAGGAGGAAATGGTTTCTCCTGTACTCTTGCAGCTGTGAATACATGCTATTTTTGAAGACTAGACATGCAACAAGTGCACAGAATCCTGATCTGAGGAAGACACAAAAGGCTGCTCATAAGGTGCCTTTGAAAGAGCTCATGTTAGTTGCTGAAGGAACCATGTTTTGCTCTTTAACATCCATGCATAAAGATCAAGTATGTTCACTGCATATTAGACCCTTGTTGTGGTAGCTGAGTTTAAATAATAAGTGAATTATTTGCTGGCAGTTCAGCCTCTTCACTTGTCTGTTCTTTTGGACCAATCCTACCTTCCTCCAGAGACCAGATGCTAATGCAGTTGACCTGTATGATCCAAGAGCGTCTGTTCTGAGATCCTCAATAGATGGGTCCACCAGAACTTCTCTGCCAGCAGTTCCAGCTAAAATAGCCACCACTATCAGCTAATCATTCTTATCTGTCCTGCCGACATGCTCCTTGCCTTGCTCTCCTTTCTAATTCCCACACAAATCCTGTGAGATATACTTTCATGATTTTTTTCCCGCTTAGGCAATCTCCCCCCAAGTGGTGTGGTCAATCCTGAATAAGTGGAAGACCGAGGCACGTATCAAATTCTAACTGTCCGATGCATAGCCTATGCTTTCTAAAGACATGCAGATGACGTTGCATTCCTAGAGTAAATCATTGCTTTTCAGCTAAATGCTCAGCCTTAGCGCACAATTGTAATTCCCAAAGTGACTCAAAACAGATGTATTTGTAGGAAGGAAATGCATCCAAAATTCAATCCAGTTTTAAATGTAATAAAAAAACCCCTATCCAGTCAAAAATGCCAGACACTTTTATGAGAAACAAGTAATAAAACCCAAAAAGCACAGGCAAGCATTCTCCTTTTCAATTGTGCATTGATATTTAGGATATAGAATTGGTATGGAGGGGCATATCCTGTCTTAGTGAAAAGGGATATGTCATCTGTTAGCTCAAGTGAACACTAGTGATCTATACACACCATGCATCTGACTTCAGATCAGCCTTCTATGAAGTCACACAGCAAAAAAGATTTTTTGAGTGAATGATTACACATCTGACACAGTCCCTTCATAATGCACCCTGCAGTGTGCACACACACTCTTTTACACCACTTATCAGTGTTTGAAGATTCCTTACCTGTTACAATAGGATATGACTGAGGACCCGGAACACTAGCTCCTATATCTGCAGAAGTAGGGCTTGCTATATTGGCTTTCATGTCATCTAATCCACCAGCTAACGATGCCATGGCTGAATACTCAGTTGCCTGAAAAAAAGAAACAAAAAGCATCTTAGCAATAATAACTTTACTACTATTTACCAGCTTTTGCCTGTATAACAAACAGTAGGTGCAATACAGAACTCAAAAACCTTTTGTTCAGTTACACTGACCAATTTCAAAGGCAATACACATTTAAATCATAATGCTAAGTACTCAAAATGCACAATAAGTGGGTCTGTACTTATCATTGATGCTCTCGGAGAACACCAAAATGGGCTTCTTTATGAAAAGAGAAGATCAACAGGTAACACAGCTTTCCTTATTGAGGAAATTCTGTAGAGCAAATTGGGGGCTATAACAGCTGAATGAAACTTCTTTGCCTGTTAGAGTGAAATGAACGCTCGTTCATGTTAGTTAACTTGAACTGCCCTAATTTCAGTGATTACACCTGAAGATATACAATAAGAGCAGATGGTAAGTAGGGTGTCCAGTTTCACAGCTTCTCTCAGGAATGCAGCATTTTCTCATCACTTCATAAGCAATGAAGCGCAGCTAAGTAAAGGAGTTTCCTTAATGGATGGATTTGTTGCCAACCATTTCCAAATCCGAATGTGTTTAAAAATAAATCGTCTTACTATTTTAAAGAAGCTCTCATATATTGTGGGAATTTTTTAATCTCATCAGCCAGAGTTAATGTAAGTGAGCATATATCCTCAGAAATCAAATTACCACTGCCCTGTGGCTTGGAAAAGTCCATGTAGCTATGACAGTTTGTAGCAGCTGAGGCCAACCCATACTTTCAGAAGGACTTCTATGCATGTGGCAGAAAGGTTATCTTTATTTGCCTTTTTCCATAATTTCTTATTACCAGAGCCACTTATACAAAACTAGAAAGTTTCCTTTTAAAGTTCTCCTTCCCTTATTACTATCTTCACTTGAAGTTTTAATCCCTTATTTGTGAGATCATAATCATTTCCATAACAATCAGAGGATTATGACTTCAAGTAAAGAATAGGCAGTAGGAACAGATGAGCTTAAAATAATAATTTTAAGGATGATTTCTACTATATTACTACAGTCTAAGTCTGTGTTACAGCCATGTAGAGCTTTAATGCAGGGCAAACAAGGCCCCCATAATTTTTCAAGCCACTAAATCCAATTTTAGTATAGTAAAAAAAAAAGATGAAATAAAAGATATTTTGAGAGGCTGTCGCTGTCTCCAAATTTAGAGACATGTAAAATTCTTTGCAACTTTCCAGGAAGCGTTGAAGTGCTCCAGCACACATGAGTGTGTGGCCACACGCTCAGTATTTTGGGACAGATATCTCTATGTGTATCTCTGCTGCTCAGGTCTTACTCAAACAGAAAGGAATTTCTATTGACAGCCCCATATTAGCAGATTTATATTAATAGAAGCATGTTTCTCTTGATATGTATGAGGCACAAATACCTCCTGCCATCTTGAAGGATCTCCCATACAAACCTCTTCCAGATGAATGTGTCAAATTCATTTTGCCAACATAAATGGCTGCTGGTCACCCTGTCACTTCACTCTACCCGTAGATGCACATTACAGGGCACTGTGAACTGAAGACCTCTCATCAAGAGCCCGTCTCCTATTCTGCTCCCTAACCTTTGCATTAAATTTGTCTTCTACTTAACCCTTTCGGCTTAATCCCTCTTCTGAAACTCTCCTTGCCTTCATGTATCTTCACTCTGTTCCTTTCTTCTAATAATTCTTCCTGAAATGTGCTGCACACACCTTTGCTTCAGCTCCATTTCTTCTGTACCTTGACAATCACTGCCCTTGGTTAGGGCAAAACCTCAAGCAACCATCCTCTTTGGGGTACCGTAAATGGTCTAGCTTTTCTCCTATCTAAAAATGCAACTAGAGAAAGCTCCTTTTTTCTGATGACCTGTTTAGTTTCAGATCCTAGCAGCAACAGTCACTAAAGAAATCCCGTTTGGTTCTATGTATTACAATTCTCCAACTTCCTGCAGCTTACTTTTGCTGACCGTCAATGGCCTCAGCCTCACCCTACAACCACCAGTGGCCTCAGCCTCTCTCTGCGGTCTCTGCCATTGCCGCAAGATGCTTTTTACAGCTCTTCAGAGCAGTTTGTATACACTCCAGCATTCCCATACTATTCCATGTTATCCCATGTCTATAACTTCACCTTCCCCCTGCACTGGGTGTATGTACGTTTAACTGCACAGGAGGGCTATTTAACTCCCTAAAGCACTAGTCTGAAAAAAAGGGCTGATGAGTAAAAGCAGGGCTGCAGTCCTGTAGAGTGTTCCTGATCAGCTGGCAGTGTAGTAGGAGTGGGAAATGGGTAGGCAGAGCAGCAGAAGAAAAAGCTGTCATTTTGCTCTGCTAGGCTGTGGTTTGGTATTTCTGACAGCTGGAAAAGAACACACACCATTCCTTATGGAAATGAGTCCCTATGTAATTCCTGATGCTCTAAAAAAGTTTGTAAATCCATTATACTCAGAGCAGAAAATCTCTTTAGAGCTTCCTGACCTACTCTGATTCATAACCCTCCTTTAGGCAGGGCGTGAATGTGGTTTTACGTCTACTAACGGGGAGCTGATCAATTTATAGCTTGGGCATACCTGAGGGAAAGCATCCAGCTATGGCAAACGTTAGGTCATGTGCAGACCTGGTGCATGTGGATGCATTTCTGCTCCTCCCTTACAGGCAGATAGCTGTATGACTCCAGTTCCTCTCACAAATGCAACTATAACCAATACAATTCCCTGCCAGCAAAACCCCAAATTTAAGAGCGTAGAGCAGACTGCGATGCTAAAGCATTACAACTTTCTTCAGTTTTAACTCCTCAGTAACTGGTCTTGGAGCAAACTGTATCAGGATCAGGTCTCTCATTTTAACTGTAATAACCTGAAAACACAACATCAAGTAAATACAAGCTACACTCGTCAAGCTAAAAGAGATTTACCAGATTCCGTTACAGAAGCAAAAAGCTTCAAGGGCTTAGCACAAATAAGTACAGCCGCTTCTTGAAGCAAAGAAGATGATATGCCATTGCTCCTTAATGTTACCCAGCATGAGATGTCCCATTGCACCTTACAATCTTTGTGGAAAGGTGTGACCTTGGCAGTACGACCATGGGGCGTAAAGCAGACAGAATCCACCCTATTACTATTCTCAGCAAAGTTGCGGGGAGATGGGTAGAGAGGCACAACCAGCACAGTCCTCTTGCAGGCAGGGCCCAAAGTATTTCATTTGCCCAGATCCTGAATCCTTGGGATAGCTTTTGCAGGCTCTTTTCAGTACAGTTTGGGGGAAAGTCCATATGCAAGCAGCGTTTGTAGGAGATTCCCTGATAAGGAGATGTGAGAAGTGAAGACTTTCTGTCCCCTCCATGTCTTCAGTCTAAGTAGTTTGCCATATACTGGAGATGCCCTCCACTGCACCTCTCTTCATATGGCCCCAAGGAAGCAACTTTTCCAGGAGGTAAGAACAATGAACTACAAGGATTTTCCAGCCACTTCGCCATTCCCATGGCAAAAACTTCCTCTGCACTACTAGCTATTTTCTGCCCCCAGAGCAGTCAGTTATACAGAGCCAGCCCCAAGTGACTGAAACACAGCTGACTGTACCAGCCATGCACAAGACCATAGCTACTCCAGGCACCCATACGAAGCAAATCCTAGTTGAGGGGCAGCCTGATAACCAGCAGCCTTCTCACACACCAGTCCTCACAGCCACATGTGTCCAGGTCCAGGCAATGATGTACCCCTTGTGTCCCAGCAGGGCTCCCTGGCTTCACTGTCTCACACATGCATCGCCCCCACTGCTATGGTCTGAGCTCCTGCTCTTGAAAGCATAGCCGGGCCTGGTACCACGCTGACTTGGCAGCAATGAAATAGCAAATAGCAATGAACAGGGCTTGTGCCAAGCTGAGACTGGTACACGGCTTTGGAAAGAGCAGGTAGCATGTTACTGCAAAATGTGGCTCTTGCCACTAAGCTGTGAGGTACTTCACTGAGCTGAAGGATCACCAGAAGCTTGATTCTGGTCCTCTAAGAACCTGAGAAACTGCAATATGGAGTAGCAGAAGAGCCTCCACTTCATGAAACCCACTGAAAGGCCCAATCTGGAATTCACGTCATCCCAGGCCATGGAGCTGGAGACAGATTATCATTACCATAATTAGCTCATGTTCTGCTATCATGTGCTCAGCACTTCACATTCCCTGTCCTCTGGAGTTTAACACAAATGTACACAAATAGCAAAGTGAGAGGCACAGACATCTAACAATGCCAATCAGTTCACAGTATTCCCCAAAGAAATGACAAGTTTTGCTGGTGGTGTAGGCTTGCAGTGCCCTGCACATTCATCCCTTCTTCTCAGTTTGTGGGGCTTACAAGGGGCATGTTAGCATCTTCTCTTCCCATTTGCCCCGAGGCAGAATTCATCCTTGCCAAACATCCCATGAAGAAACAAAAGAAAAAGCTCAGGGAACAGAGCTCTTCGAACAGCTTTTTCTCACACCATTACAATGTCCCTTAAATCTTGTGACTTCTATCAAAAAAGACTTCCCTGCTGCCACTAATTGGTTGGTGTGTTCTCTGATTGCTCTGAGCTGGGGCAGCTGAAGACATCTAAGAGTCTTCCTTCTTTGGCTTCTTCTAACCTGCTACCCAGCACCACGGCCTTTCAGTGAAGAAAGCCAGGGAGAGAAATTTCCCACTCTGCCCGGGTACAGCCACAGTGCCCCTCCCTGCTTAGTGGGGAACCCGATCTGCTTGGTAGGTGAAAAAGCAAGAGTCGGGTGTTCAGTACCCTAGAAATTACCTGAAAAATGATTGCCTGCGGTTGTACCACGTACTGTCTCATCAGCATGGAGCACCACTGCCATAGCATGGAGGAGAGAAAACACAGACACGTGAAACGGAGAATATATAAAAGGAGAGAATGAGAAGGACAAAACAAAAGGAGAAACTTCTGAGTAGCAACATGAGGCTTTATGTGCTTTCTCTTTCCCATCCCACCTAAGATCGGGAGGATGGGATGCTGGACACCTTGCAGAATGACTCAGGGGTACACAGCACTGCAACATGCACTACATCATCTACTTTTTCCCAATAGATGAGCAGGCCAAGGGGTGGTGATGAAAAGGATGGCGTGTTTGTGTACAGAGACAGTAACTAACCCTCTGTAACATATGGGAGAGCCTTCCTTGTACTTTCCTTGCCAGATCTCATTCTGGAGTACAAATGGGAAGGTTTCTACTCTGGTTCAAATTTCACATCCAATCTTCTTTGTTTCAAAAACGGAGGTAGTAAACATTACCTCCATTGAATCATTAGTTCACCTCCCCGCAAAAACACTGCTAACAACACCAATAGGTGCAAGCACTCAAACACCAGTGCTTTATACTCACATGGTGTTACATGTACTCTGAGGACACCAGGGCACTTGATGAGTGTTATTTATCGTATCTCTCCAAATAAAGTGCTGCCCCATCAGTTTTATGAGACAGAGAGTGCTACATTTACCATGAATAAAATAAAGTGCCAGTGGCTACTTTCAAAAAGTTGATGAAGGCAAGAGAAAAGGCTGGAGTACATGCACCTGTCTTCCTGAGGAAGTTGCAGTAAGTATTGAACTGCGCTCAGGACAACATAGGTTTTTATACCTGCTTTTCCAGCCTTCATGATCTACAAGACTTCAGCTATTACCCTGTAAGTGCTTATGGTGGGAATAACTCCCTCCATACCCCATATGCAAACACCCATCACTGGGCCATGAGAACCTGAGCACATGAGGATGAGGAGGAAATAATCAGCCTTTGGCTGATTATATGCTCCACAACCTTCAGAAGACGACAAAAAATCTCCACCTTTGCCCATCCTGCTCCTTCTGCTTTCATTTTTTCAGCTGTGTATTTAGAGAGGTGGCCTCAACCGTCAAGAACAAGCTTCACTGAACTGCAATTCGTAGTAGCCCCACCCTTGATTCTATCTTTTGCAATGTGTAATATGACCAGAAGATACTCTGGTGTCATGAGGAGGGAAGATGCCAGGTAGATTGAGGGCAAAAAGGTGAAAGAGTACGTTGGTACCATTTTTTGAACAATTCATGTAGCAAAGGTAGAAGGCAAGCTCTGGACTCTCTTGCCTCACTACAACTAGTTGTGAGATGTCCCACCATTTGTTTCACCCGCACTTTTTCTAGTGAAGTGTAACCCACTGAAAGGTCAATATACCCTATATATACAGCAATTTTCTTTTTGAGATTTTTTTGAACTTTTATCCAAAAATGGAAGGCAAAGACAGGTGAGCTGTGGGGAATGAGACCACTCCCCCGAGCAAACTGATTCTGAAATACCAAAGTGAGAAACTCACGGAGAGCACCCCAGCATGCCTATGGTAGGCCTCAGGAGATTAGCCCTGTGGAAATACTACAATCCAAGCTCTAGAGCATACAAGTACATTGCCCTCTCCTCCCTCTTGCCTTTTAGAAAGAAAGGAGGTATCTGGTGAATGGGGGCAAGTAACTATCAAAAAGAGGCAGCTGGAATCCATTGAGAGTCCACATATTTCTTCCTCCTTATGCTTAGTTTTACAAAACACATCTTCGAAAAAAATCAACCAGACACAAACCAAGGTGTTTTATGCTTTCCTACTATAGCGCAGATACCTTCTGACGAACAGAGTTTTTTTGGACACAGCAGTAAAAGAAAAACTCTGTCCAGTACAGCAGTGGCTTGAACTGTCAAAGTAAAACCCTAGCCTGCTGGACATTTTAGGATTTTACTTTGTTTTGTTTTGTTTACAGTTTTTGTGCTGACAGTGTGTGCCGCCTGTCTCCTAAGCAAACCAGGTTGTAGCAAGATGGAAACGATGCACAGAGGGCCTTTGCTGCTGAAAACAACTCTTTTCTGGTTTTAGGAAAGACATTAACTTCAGGCTTTCCAAAGGCTATAGCGGCAAGAATATTCTCTGCATAGTTCAACATGCTCCTGTTTTACTTGGCCCTTGGGCATTTCAGACAAGTGCCCAAAAGCAGATTCATGCTGAAAATAGGCAGGGTCCCCCATCACGTATGCAAATGTTGAGACCAGAACACCTTTGCAAGTTCAGATGTTTGTTCTTCTTTCTTTTTGTCCCTCTCAGGCACAAGAAGACAATATCTCCTTCCGGCAGAGGTTTAGCAGAGAATAAAGGGTGACAAATGGCTCTTCTTTGACTTGCAGATGCACAGAAATATTAATAGAGCCTGGGATAAAGCAGCCCAGATCTTTCTCTCTACCCCAGGTCACTGGAGCTCCATCATTTATGACTGTCAAACATGCTGCTAACCAAACATAGCAACAGCAAGTATCTCTATTGTCATCAGAAGAGCTCACACTTAATACAGCCCAGTCACCATGTTGTACTATTTTGAAATAAATAAATAAATAAAGGCAGAATTAGCGCACACCAGGCAGGCTTTCCACTGAAACCCCCGTGTCGGGCTCACAAAGGGAAAAAATTTGTAATATTAGGTATGGTTCAGAGAGTTTAATCCAATGCAGCTCTAATTAATCTCTCCAGCTTTTCAGAAACCCAGTGCCTTGTACAGTTGTATGGGCATTTGTGCTAGTTTTTCTCAAATTTTATGGGAATAGAAATTTCATTACAAAGTCCTTCTTCTTAGCTTCATTAGATTTGAACTGGAAATGCTTCTGAAGATCTATATATCAAAGCCTCTTTACTGTCACCCCCACCAGCCACCCCTCAGTTTTATAATTTACAACACACTTCCTGCTCTATCTAACACTATTACTGAAACTAATTCTTCTTTGCAGTAAAACCTAGCTAATTGGAGCTGAACTCCAATTTCCTTTGTTTTCAGCAACATATGGCTCTTACTCTCTTAAAAGGCATGAAAGTTTGATTTCAGCCTGGAATCTTTTTCCTCCTCCTTTTAAACAGAATATATCTAGATCTCCCTTTCACAAACTATATCTTGTTAAAAGTATTTAATAGTTGTGCTTCATTTTAACCCAAACTGGAACCGTGCCACTCCCCAGAGATTCCTCATAAACTAGTGGGAATACGTTCGTGCACCCTGCCATGAACACATTTACTATCATATTTCAGAATAACTGACCTGTTTGTGACCTAAACCTTCAGATTATCTGCATATGGGAAACTGTATGCTACATTTTACTTTTTCACAGTAAAGAAATAAACAGCAGCAGCCATTCTCAGCCTTTCTAAAGGGACCTCCAAATCCAATCTAAATGCCTAGAATTTACCTGTAGTTTTTCTTTTATACATACAAATAGCTACATTTCCATTCACTCTTTGTTTCTCATTTTCATTTTGTTCTAATATCTGCATGTAAATGTCTGAAAATAGCATCTGTAATTGAAGATTATGAAGTATAGCCAGCTCCTGACAGGCTGCTAAGGAAGATGGATTATCCTCATTTTTCTGTAAATTTTGTCAATTTTGGAATTCATAAGCTATCAACACTGATCAAAATGTGACCGCACAGCTGTGTCAAAAAGAAAGGAGCAATGACAATGTAGCTCCCATGTTTGCTGCAAAGATTGGTTTCCGGCCCCCTCCCCCCAGCAGAGCAGAGTACTGTGCAGGAATTATTCCTGGCTACTTCTGGTATTTACCCATCCCCAAAAAATTCAAATAAATAAATTGAAAGTACGCAAATTCTCTGGTGCATTGACTCAAATCACAAAGTATAATTTATTGCATGTTCTCCCTTTTTATTTATCCCTAAGTAGTAAACACGATTTCCATTCAGGGGGTTCGTTATGTTCCACTCCTACCAGACAATCACAGCACACTTGAGGCAATTGTTTAGCCTCTTCCTCTCAATTTTCCCATTACTGGGAGTAAGTACTGTTGGGACTCTTTAATAGCCCGACTGCAGCCCATATCAATAACAGATGAGGTTTAATCGTCCAACACAAAAATTATTTAGGCTCAGTAAGGACATTCAATGTCATTTGCATAATGGCATTTCTATCCTGAGCACCTAACCCATCGTGCATAAACAAGGGCCTGGGACCATAAATAATAATAAATCATGACGTCCATGCTCCTCTTGCTGTAATAGGAGCCACTCTTTGCAGAAATTATTTCAGCGGGAAATGGGCACTGTAATTTTAAAGACATGTGGCATCCCACAGACCAGTAAATCACATGCGTGCACATATACACACATACACCCACTAAAGAAGCTGCCCAGGATGAACAACAAAACCCCATGAAGCAGTAGCACAGAAAACAACTAGCACTTCTGGCTGAAATTGTTCTTGTATTTTTAAGCAGAGCTGGCAAATCAAACAAAAACAAGACTTGAATAGTGTACATTGTGCCTGGACATGAATACGTAAGACTAACTGACTTCATTTCAAATTTGAATTGTGACTCGTCTCCACCCTCAGAGGTTACCTAGACTAAAATTAACTATAGTGGGGAGCAGTTATTTCTAACTAAAATGAGAAGTGCTTAACTAGATATGCTTGCATGGATTTAAGGAGCAGAGGAGTTATGGGTCTGAGTAAAGAGGAACAGACAGTGAAGCACACGCAGTAAAACAGCAGAAATGTGCACTAATTTTAACAAAGGCATGGTCAGAACAGGGACAGCCCATACTGCAGAATATTGGGGAGATACAGTAAATGGTAGCTGCGAGGGGGTAGTTAACGGCAGTCTTCCATTGTCTAGAAGGAGAATGCTCAGTCAGTTTGATTTTTTTCCATGAGATTTTAGTCATGTTGATCCTGATTTTCATCTGGATGAGAAAGGGAGCAACCAGATCAGCAGACCATCATGGACGTTCCTCTCAGAATGGCAAAGGATGGTTATAGAAGCAGCAGCCATTGAACACTATTGACTACATTGAAC